CTTTGGGAAATAATATCAAACAATTCCCCTTCCCAGTTACCCGCTAACATCATCAGCTGCTCTGAATGGTCATCAAACAATAATATGAAGTTAAACGTATCAAAAACCAAAGAATTGCGTGTCTGCTTTTCTAAGCTTACTCCATCGTTTGCCCCTATTACCATTCGCGGTCGGGAGGTCGACGTCGTTTCCGAGGCCAAACTATTGGGCGTTGTCCTTTCGGACGACCTCAAATGGAACTGCCATGTTGACTACATTTGCAAGAAAGCCGCGAAGCGTTTGTACGGTCTGCGCCTTCTTAAAAGAAATGCTTTACCTTCGAATTCTCATATTCTGATCTCAACCTATTGTACACATATTCGACCAATTGTCGAATATGCTTGTCAGGTGTGGCATTATGGCCTTCCTCATTACCTGAGTGATCAAGTTGAAAAAATACAAAAAAGGGCATTAATTAAAAATTATTTTCCCTGGAACTATCTATGCTGAATGTTTGCTTAAAGCTAACTTGATGACTCTTTACGAACGTAGAACTGTTCTTTGCAAGCGACTTTTTTCGAAGATGTTGGAACCCACTCATAAACTGAATGCCTTAGTACCGCCTAAAAGTCTTCAAACTTATAATCTGAGGTCTTATCCCAACTTATTAGTACCTAGGTGTAGAACTGAACGTTTTCGAACAGTTTCATTCCTGCTGCGTCTCGTGCTTATAATAATAAGTAAACTTTAGATTATTATCGCTATTTTTATCTAACTTACCTATTTTTACCTGTAAATATAGAATAGATTGAATACCTATGTTCTTATACCCTGTAATTCCAAAGTAATTCAGTTGTTACTGCTAGTTTGGAAATTTATAATAATAATAATAATAAAGTATTCGTGCGAGACGCAAGCGAGAAAGACCCACCAGACGCTTCGACGCAAGCTGATGCTTTTGCCGAACTCGTGCAATGTCTGGACGATAGAAGTTTATCGCTAGTGATACGAGACGCGAGAGACGACGGGAGGAAAGCGCTAGAAGTTCTCAGACAGCACTACCAAGGGAAGGGAAAGCCACGTATAATTTCGATTTATACCGAACTGACATCGCTAAAGAAAGAAGAGAACGAGCCAATAGTCGATTATGTCATACGAGCTGAGTCATTTGCGACAGCGTTACGAAATGCCGAGGAGGCTATCAGCGACGCATTGTTAATCGCGATGGTTTTGAAAGGCTTACCGAGAGAATACGACACGTTTGCCACGGTAGTTGTGCACAGAGAGAAACAAATTACTTTCGCCCGTGGGCGTACCGGAAGGAAAAAATTAGGAGGGCGGAAAGAAATTTGCCCGACTTTTTCGGATTGTGCCCGACCAGTGCCGCAAAAATTTTTTCCGGAATTAAAAAAAAATTTGTACAGTGTCAATTTGGCCAGTGTACCATTTTAGGACTCCAAACATTTTTCGGACATACCTAAATTTTTCGGAACATCATACAAATTGTCCAAACATCACAAAATTGACCACAAATTTGACGGAATTTCCCACAAAATTCACAGAATTGTCCCATTTATTTTTATAATAAGCCAATATTGCCCGACTGTGGAGCGTATATTGCCCGACTTGCTTTCTTTGCCCAACAAACTGGGGGGGGGGGTGGTTGCCGCCCCCCCCCCGCCCGGTACGCCCATGCTTTCGCCGAATTCAAGAGCGCGCTACGAAGCCACGAGGAAAGCGCAAAAACACATGGTGGGAAGGCTGCCAGCGCGGGGGAGAATATTATGTTGACGAAGCAAAAGTTCGATGGGAACTGTTTTAAATGCGGGAGAAAGGGACATAAAAGCGTGGAGTGTTGGTCGAAGACATCGGAAAGATGGTGTAGCAACTGTAAAAGTAAAACCCACGAGACAAAGAATTGCCGGAAGAAGAAAGATGCGGCGAAGACAGCAGCCGAGAAGACAACGTCAAGTGAGAACAATGAACATACGTTTGCCTTTACATCCAAAGACACAATTAATATATCAGGTATAAATAATAAGAGGAATTCTAGTTTATTAGTAGATACTGGAGCCACAAGTCACATTATAAATGACAAATCAAAATTTGTGGACTTTGATAAAGAATTTAATCCTAGTGCGCATGTCATAGAACTCGCTGATGGCAGTAAAGCCAACGTAGTATTAGGAAAAGGAAATGCCAAAGTTAAACTTTATGACGTCAATGGTAATGCACGTGAAGTAATGTTAAATAGCGCATTGTATGTTCCGTCCTATGATCAAAATATTTTTTCAGTGCATGCTGCATTAGAAAGGGGGGCCAGTATTAGTTTAGATAAGCAGGTGAAACAGCTCAAATGTCCTGATGGCACAACGTTTGGAATGGAATAAAAAGGTAGGTTATATTATTTAAATAGTATTTCATCCTCTAAGAATAGTGCATGTTCTCTGCATGAATGGCATAAAATCCTTGGTCACTGTAATTATGGTGATGTTCAGAAATTGGAAAATGTTGTAGAGGGGATGAATATTTCCAACTATGATGAAGTAGAGTGTACTGTTTGCACTAAAGGTAAGATGTGCCAATTTAGGAATAGATCCCCAGATGAAAGAGCAACTGCTCCATTAGATTTTGTGCATTGTGACCTGGCTGGTCCTATTGATCCTGTAGGAAGAGATGGCTTTAAGTATACTTTGTCATTCGTTGATGACTGTTCAGGGATTATTATGGTCTATTTTCTAAAATGTAAGAGTGATACCCCAGAAGCATTACAGCAATTCTTGGCTGATGCTGCTCCTTTTGGGAGGGTTAAGCGCGTCAGGAGTGACAATGGCACAGAATTCACTAGTCATAAATTCAAATCTATTCTTCGAGAAAATAGGATAAGGCATGAGACTAGTGCACCATATTCCCCACATCAGAATGGAACGGTAGAAAGAGCATGGTTGAGTCTTTTTAATATGGCTCGATGTTTGTTGCTTGAGGCAAACTTGCCAAAGTCCATATGGACTTATGCTGTTATGGCAACAGCCTACATCAGAAATCGTTGCTTCAATGCGAGATTTGGCAAAACTCCTTATGAGGCATTTACAGGGTTTAAACCAGATTTGAGCAATATGCATGTCTTTGGTTCCGTTTGTTACGCATATGTGCAAAATGCAAAGAAATTAGATCCTAGAAGTAAACAGGGTATATTTGTGGGATATGATAAAAGAAGTCCTGCATATCTTGTCTTTTATCCTGATTCCAATAAGGTTGAACGTGTAAGGTGTGTGAAATTTTTCAATGAGAGCAACCATGAATCTAAGGTTAATCCTGACGAACAGGAAGGGGAATTTCTGCCCAGTAAAGTGTCTGTACCTATTGCCAATGAGAGTGTAATATCAACACAAGGGAATGAAAGTGTAAATGGCACTGAAACTGTGCATGATGAAGTACGGTACCCTAGTCGAACTCGTACTAAGCCAACATATTTGAATGAATATGTAACTGGTAAGGTTGTTGATGATGCAGCAACATGTGCAGTTAATTATTGCTATAGAACCCATGACATTCCAACTAGCTATTCCCAAGCAGTACATTCTCCTGAAAGAAATAAATGGGAAAAAGCCATGGATGATGAAATTGAGGCCTTAGAGGGCAATGAAACTTTCGAGTTGGTCCCACCCCCAAAGGGCCGTGAGGTAGTGGGGGGGGGGAATGGGTGTATACCGTTAAGACAGGACCAGATAAGGCTGAAACATACAAAGCTCGTTATGTAGCAAAAGGCTACTCGCAGATTCCTGGTATTGATTACCATGAAACCTTTTCCCCAACCGCTCGGATGAGCTCTATTCGTATTTTATTACAGCAGGCAATTCAGAATGATATGCTTGTTAATCAGATGGACGTAAAAACAGCCTATTTAAATGCCCCAATAGACTGTGAGATTTTCATAGAACAGCCAGAAGGCTACGAAAGGGTAGGACAAAATGGTGAGAGGTTGGTGTGCAAATTAAATAAGTCTTTGTACGGTCTTAAGCAGAGTGGACGCAATTGGAACAACATGCTACATGATTACCTTATGAAGGAGAGCTTCACTCAATCACTTGCTGACCCATGTGTTTACATTAGAAATGGTGGTACAAATGAATGTACAATTATCATCATTTGGGTTGACGATCTCATAATTTCTGCTAGCCATGAAATTCTTTTGCAGAGTGTGAAAGATTCTTTAAGTAATAAATTTAGAATGAAGGACCTAGGGGTATTGTCATGGTTCCTAGGCACAGAATTCAAGTGTTCTGAAGGTGCAATTGAAATGAGCCAAAAGCAATATATTGAGAAATTGCTGTTAAGGTTTGGCATGGCAGAATGCAAGCCAAAGGTGACCCCAACAGTACTAGGTTTAGATAAGGTTGTGGATACGAAATCACCTGAATTAAAAGATCCAACTCTTTATAGAGCGATAGTTGGGAGCTTAATATATGTGATGACAGGTACAAGGCCTGATTTGTGTTATATAGTCACTAAGCTTTCCCAAAACATGTCGAAACCCACTGAAGCTAACCTTATTGCTGCAAAACATGTTCTAAGGTATTTGAAAGGAACAATTGAGCAAAGATTGAGATTCAGGAAATCTGAGAGTACTCTAAAACTTATTGGGTTTTGTGACTCAGATTGGGGAGGTGATGTTTGTGACAGGCGTAGCATATCTGGCTACGGTTTTCAGTTGTTGGACGAGGGTCCTTTAGTTTCTTGGAGAAGTCGAAAACAGCCAACTGTTGCACTGTCCACATGTGAGGCAGAGTATATGGCACTGACAGATGCAGTGCAGGAAGCCAAGTTCTTAAAGCAGTTGTGTGTTGATCTAAATATTGTTCAGGTAAGTTTAGTGTTCTGGTAAATGGTGACAACCAAGGTGCAATCAATTTAGCTAAGAACCCTATGTACCATAAAAGATCAAAACATATCGATGTGAAGTATCATTTCATTCGAAGTGAAGTTCGAACAGGTAGTATAGTATTAGCATATATTCCAACGGACGAGAATGTAGCAGATATCTTTACAAAGCCAGTCAGTAAAGTCAAGTTAGATAAGTTTGGACCATTTATTTCAGGTAAGTATCATTCAGCATAAGAGCAAGTGGGGGTGTTAAGTTATGCTCATAATACTTCATATAACAATAATGTAATTAGTTGTAATTTTAGTTCAGTTAACCAATGATATGATTAAGAAAATGAATACAATATATTTCCTGTAATACCATATATAGCATGATTAATAATTATTCTGACCAATTGTAATTTAGCACATTGTAACATTGGTCGATCTTCAAGCTGAACAATAAACAATCAAGTGTTCCAGATATTATGTCAATGAGAAATGCCGCTGAACCTGAATCATCACAAACTTATGATGTGTCCACTCCTACTGCTATTGCCAATCTATTCAATCGCTACTTCACATCAGTGTTCAACACTGATCATGATAACCTGGATGAACGTTCCTCTCCACCATCATCTCCACCTTCAACGTCAGGACAGTCAGACCTCCAACTAACAATAGAAGAAGTCGCAAGAACACTCTTAGCGCTAGACACCACCAAGGCTACTGGACCTGACGGTATACCATCTCGACTTTTAAAAGAAACTGCGTGGCAGATTGCACCTTCCCTCACCAAAATATTCAACAAGTCGTTAAGCTGTGGCGAAATACCTGATGAATGGAAACTAGCAAACATTGTTCCGGTACACAAAAAAGGCGAAAAGAGCCAAGTAGAGAACTATAGACCTATCTCCCTTCTTTCCATAATATCGAAAGTACTAGAACGTTGTGTCCTGAGAAATATACGTGATCATTTGTTGCAATTAATCAATGATAGCCAACATGGTTTTATTCCCGGAAAGTCGTGTACAACTCAGCTATTAGAGGTTCTTGACTATATTGGTTCACTTCTGGACGGTGGCAAGCAAACTGATGTAGTCTACATGGACATGTCCAAGGCATTCGACAAAGTCCACCATAAATATCTGATAAGCAAATTAAGGAACGTCTATGGCATCTCTGGTAAACTCCTTCGCTGGTTTGAGTCATATCTGACAAATCGCAAGCAACGTGTGACTGTGCTAGGAGCTACATCCTCCGCGAGACCTGTCCTGTCAGGAGTTCCACAGGGTTCAATATTAGGTCCCATACTGTTTCTGTTGTACGCGAACGACCTGCCGGATGCAGTAGAGCACTCCAAGATCGCCTCCTTCGCCGATGACACGAAACTATTTAAGAAAGTTGATTCTACTTCCGATGCCATCTCCTTACAAAGTGACCTGAGTAGTTTGGAGAACTGGTCAACATCTTCTGGCCTTGTCTTCAACCAAGACAAATGCAAATGTCAGCGTGTAACAAGGAAAAAGAATCCTATTAAATACGAATATACGATCAATAACAAGTCCCTGGTGGTCACCGAAAAAGAGAAAGATTTAGGTATATGGTATATCGACTTAATTACGAGGACAGAACGCATCCAACGACGAGCTACAAAGTTCATTTTGAAATTACCATACGTGTGCGGAGAAACGTACAAAGACAGACTGATCTCCTTAGACTTACTAACAATCACCTACTGGCACGAGTTCCTTGACATTATGTTTTTCTTTAAAGCTGTAAACAACATTATAACTGTCTCGAACGAAATCCTTCCGCAGCCGATTATCCCATCAAGGCTCACTAGAACCTCGGTTGACACCAACCTGCTCTCCTTCCGTCCTCGCAAATGCAAGACGCTGACATACCAACGCTCTTTCTTCATCAGAGTAATAAGATCTTACAACTCTCTGCCAGAAAATCTAAGGCAAAAAGATCTCTCACTGGTACGATTTAGAACATTGTTGCTGGACTACTACCACAACGCTGCCAAGACATCCTATGATGTAGACGATGCCAGAACGTGGAGAACAGTCTGCTTAAAATGCAACACATCACGAAAACTCGTGCAACCATTAACGTGTTGCTATTAGTACATGTACACTACCAATTATCAGTTTCAATTTATATATTAGCTGTGTGTTTTCTGTATCCAAGGGCCCACAGTAATTGGTTTTAAGCTGTTGTGGTGACCCCGCCTTTTTGTTGTTGTCACCTTTTTGTCCAACCTTGAAACGTGGAGGCTGGGCGTATTTGCTGTGTTTCGATATGTTTTGTCTAGGTCTATGCCAAGTCATGTTGGGCTCATAAAAATCAAGCTATTCTAAAATGAATATAATTGTAAAATTAAACCGTCCTAGGTTAGCGGTCAAGGGTGTATGTTTTTTTACTATCATGTTGAAACATAGACAGGGGCGCTGAAGTTTGCTCGTTTTTGGGTTGGACAGAAATGGTTGTGTGTACGTGTTGTTTGATTGTGTAATTATAGGCGAAGCTAAATAAATAAATAAATAAATAAATAAACGCACTTGATGTAAAATAAAACTTAGCCGGTTCTTGTATGCTTCCACAGAGTGTGTATCTCTTGTAATAAAGAATGACAATTATATATGACAACTACAACGAACTCAACAATACTGCATCATAGCACGTATGTCGTCATTTTCAGGTCAGTGTGAATGCCTGAGCAGGCGTCTTGTTTATTTTAGATTACAAACGGGAAATTGATACCCCAACACCCGATTTGGGTATCAATTTCCGTTTGTAATCTAAAATGACTGAAAATTGCAAACTTCCCAAGGCTACCGGGTGTCCCAAAAAAAAGTACTCCGGTTTGATTCATAATAACTTCTAAACAAGCAAAGTTTTTAAAGAGAAATAATTTGCATCAAATAGAGGAAAGTCTAACTTAGATTTTGGTATATTACAGTTGTATTTCACTTAAAAATTCACGGAGATATTAATGTTCAAAATCGGGAGCATATTTTTGGATGTGTCTGAAATATGCAAAAAACGGCGTATCAAATATTAATCAAAATTTGCCCGATTGAAACATGCACTTTTACCATTAAATGAATGACACTTGACAAATTGTATATTATGAAACAAAGTATTATTATCTACAAAATACAAGCAAGATTTATTCGTCCGAAATCCGCGTGTGTTCCTTAGACGAATACGTTTCCTTATTTCATGAGACCACTGCATCGCGAATTAAGGATCGTCATGGATATCGTTCGTAGTTCTGAATTAGGGCATGCTGTTACAATGGAATTGTGAAGCTCTTCTAACTTCTGCAAAGTTCAGAAATCTTGTTAAGAACACTCAAACTCTTTTGCTTTTTCTTAATCTTATTAAGTTCAGAATAAACTGAGAATGAAACACAATCTAACCATACAACTTCATAAGACATAACAAGCAACTCCCCAGAGACATCCAACATTTTTGGAACAAAACGTAACAAAATAGTAGCGTTGATACTGTGATGTGTATTTGCAAAAAGCAATATTATTTGCTTCATTAAAGAAATCCTGCTCTAACCGAGAAATAATCAACTCTGTTTTGAACCCATGAAAAACATTTAAAAATTAGGCTATTTAACAAAAATTTAAGCGCCTGCCTTGCATATATGGTTTTTCATGTACCTTTTAGTTTGTAAAGACCTATTAAATACTTGCATAATTTCGAACGTTCAATATTTCAGGAAACAATCAGCTAAGACTTACATGCATGTTAAAATGTCTAAATCTGCGCCATATCCCTTACAAACCGTAACGACAATTTACTGAAATACAAGTTAGCCTGATATGTCATTAAACAAACAAACACTGCATGAGTTAATATTTGATATGCCGATTTTCGCTGATTTTAGACACATCCAAAAATATGCTCCCAATTTTGAACATTAATATCTCAGTGAATGTTTAAGTAAAATACAACTGTAATATATCAAAATCTAAGTTAGTCCTTCCTCTATTTAATGCAAGTTATTTCTGTTTGATAGCTGTACTTGTTTAGAAGTTATTATAAATCAAACCGGAGTACTTTTTTTTGGGACACCCGGTATATTATCCGCATTTTACCACATTTCGCAACGAAACTTCGGAATATTACTAATTTTGTGATGCTCTTTCAAGCTGTGATGAAATTTTTGTCTAGATCAAAATTTTAGTTATAAGGTTAAAGATCCATTCAAATTCCATGTGTTAATTTACTTACTAATCAGTGTTCGCACTGTTTATCAATTAATTTGTAGGCAATGATAAGGAGAGTAAACCTAGCTATTCAAAGACAACATACCCATCGTATTCGAAAAAGGAGAGAGTTTCAAAAGCTAATGCTGGAAAGGAGCGAGCGCTAAATGAACCTTGGGAATGGTATGATAAATGCACTACACGCGAACGAAATAAGGGTAGGTTTTTATGTTTCACATTTATAATCTGATTATCGGCCCAAAGAAGAATTTATTCTACCCGGTATATACATCTTTTTATTAGCATGTATTTGGACAGGTACTGTATGGTATATATATGTATATGTATATATATATATATATATATATATATATATATATATATATATATATATATATATATATATATATATATATATATATATATATATATATATATATATATATATATATATATATATATATATATATATATATATATATATATTTATATCTTAAAATTAATTATAATTATAATTTAATTTTAAGATATAAATATAAATATATCTTGCTCTACTTTTGTATTAGTGTTGAGCACTTTATTATCTACTACAACAAAACAAATTATATATATATATATATATATATATATATATATATATATATATATATATATATATATATATATATATATATATATGATTTCAAAATGAATATAATAAAGTACGTATAATCGTAATGAATATAATAAAGTACGTATAATCGTAGAAACTATATTTCACTATGAAATGTTGATGCATGTACCGATGGTTCCGCGTGAGTATACATGGCGGCGATTTTAAAATCTTTAATTTGAAAGCACTATGATCATATATAAAATTCAAACGATTTTTAGAAGGCTCCTCGTGTAATAATAGACGTTTGTTTGAGATATGTGTTTTTATAACTCTTCCATATTTTCTCCCCGCCATCCATGTAAGATTTTCTATTTATGCAAAAAAATCTTATTGTTCACGAATAGGGTTGTTCACTGCAGATCAACAATTGAAGGGCGACGAAGCAAGATACACCAGACAAAACCCTCAAGGTACCCGGTATGGTTACGAATGTCCGGAGGAACGTGATTACTATCCATACTGGTATCCAACTGATTGGATAGATATTGCAGTGTTACCCAATGATAAAGAAGATTGTTATCACTACAAGAAAGAAAGCTTTAATACTAATTCTAAAGGTAATATTGATGATCAACAGTATACAAATAATGAATGTTTATCTCATGAAAATATTCTTACCATTGCACGAATAACTGAACATTCATTATTTGTTTTATATAATACCAAAATAGACTAATAGATTCGTATGAGAAGCATTTTGACGGATGCGATTATCGAAAACACAAAGAGTGCAATGGAATAAAACGTATAGTACAATTGCACTCGCAAAGAGTGCAATGGAACGTATTCCATTGCACTCTTGGGAAATGGAATTTTCTATTCAATATCACGTGACCATAAACAGCCATTTAAACGATCAGAATTCAATAAGGTATTATATAATATTTATTATTATATATGGCTTTGCAGAATCCTGGATTCTGATTGGTCGACGTGCGGTCCGTAAAATGCGTATCCGGACCGTGGTTCGTATTTTCCCGTATCCGGACCGTGGTTCGTATTTTCCCGTATCCGGACCGGTTTCCCGTATGTCAATTTAACAGACTCGAATTTGAAACGTTTTTACACGTTTATAAGGTCGTTATGTGAAGAAAAAGTATCCTTGGATCATTTTTAAGAATAGGAAGTCTTGGAAATATTAATAAGTACTTGTACCAACACAAATTTCATCGAAACAGCTAAGAAAACAAGCTATAGTCGTTTGAACTCTTACTGGCAACCGTAAGTTTTGGCGGGAAAATGTTTTGATTTGTTTACTTGTTTCAAAAAACAAATAAAGATGAATTTAACATCTTTAATACCATATTCTAAACAAATATATAAACTGGATTTATAAGCATTTTTTCTGGGGGTGGGGGTCACCGAAAAAGTAGTTCTAAAGCGATTGTTAAACATGCTTTTCCGTAAACAATATTCGGTGACGAAACCAAATCTAAACGAAGAAAACTAGCAAATAAAACATAGCTCAAAAATACCTTTATAGCGCTCAAACAAATATATGAAAATCAGAAAATGTGTGTTAAGGAGCCATATAATAAACGGTTTATTAACCTCGTTTGGCTCGATCTGTACGGGAAAGTATTTGCCTTCGGTTTATCCGCACAGACCTCGCTCCTTCGTTGCTCGGTCTGTACGAAAACCTCAGGCAAATACTTTCCCGTACAGACCTCGCGCTCGGTTAATAACCCTTTAATATACTGAACGTTGTTATGGATTATAACTCCGGTCTGTGAATTGGCTACCCTGTTTGAATAAATATATCAGGATCAAGGGGCAAATCACTCCTAAAAAGTGTACGTACAGTACGGGACAATATGATCTATACGTGATTTAAATCGATGATTTGTCCCTCGATCAGTATTATTAAATTTCTGATATACCGGTATCTCTCCACGTAAGGTGAGTGCATGGAACTCTACCCAAAGACAAGACGAAACTCGGAAACAAGATGGCGCCATGCTTCAAAACACAACAATCCAGCTGACTGTGAAGCTAATGGAGGAAAATGGATAGAATTTCATAACTACTTAGAAATAACAAACAAAACGGAAACTTCATGCAAAGGGGAATCCGTTATATGGGGTATACCATACAGCTCAGAAAATATTGATCAGCTGGAAGGTGAAGAACCAGAAAAGTGGAAAAAGTGTTTGGTAAAATTACCCGAACCAGATTGTAAAGAAGCACCGAGAACACGAACCAATCACCTTGGCAACGGGAAAGGAATTGTTCCTTTGACATATAACTGGATACTTCCATATTTTCCTTCTGGACAGGAACAGCGCTGTGTAGTTCGTATTAGGTACGTTATTCGGGTCTTTGATATATAAAACTATTTGTTTCCGGTAATTGTGTCATATAATGCAAAATAATGGAACGTCCGGAGGAATTCGGAAACTCCAAAAGGAAATAACATATGTAGACCATTAACTATATAGTGTCTGTCAGTGCTATAATTTTTAGTACTGCTCTCTCGCGTTCGATTAGGATTTTAAAATCGTATTAGTACCATACGTGCGAGGACACCAGTCACCAAATGCAATAAGCCAATATTTGGTATAAATGATATCGTATCATCTTTTAAAACACTTTCAGCAAGCAACTTGCTATTTACTATTTTTTCTTTATAATTTTTTCTTCATTTCGTAGGTACAATATCTCCACTAACGACTACGACCCAAATAACACATATGCTTCATCTAATAACAAGTACGTATTACATTCCTTATCTTGCAATTGTATACACAGGACGCCAAAGTATCCCGCAACTGTCGACATACAAGTGCAGGATAAAATAACCAATGTTAAATAATAATGTTAATGTAAAGTTCCGTTGAGTTTTAAGAACCGACCGTTAATTTGAATTTATAATGTTATAATGTTAATTTGAATTTATAAATTTATCAAATGTGAGAAGTCTATTATCCCCGAGCAGACGGCACGAAGCGCCGTGCGAGGGTACTAATTCCCCCCGGCTATTAACACCCGGGGAAACGAAAGAATTAGCGAAGTCTAAAGTTCATCAATTATCGCGGGCGCTCACCAACGACACAGAGTAGAGACATACAGAGACGTAACTAGTGTACCCACTTTTTTGTGCGCATGCTCGGCAAGTTACTAGATGCATGCATCTGACTGGATGACGACCTGATGACGACTCACTTTAAACTTGCTGAGCACGCGCAGTTGATCATTTTTCCCCCGGTCGCCTGAAGAAAAAGTGGGTACATGATAACGTAATCTTCCGCAGTGTTTACGACGGTCAGTTACGTCTCTGTATGTCTCTACTCTGTGCCAACGATCGACGATCTTGAGTGGGTGGTCATCCTCACTTGACATTTATGTCATTTGACATTTATCTCAACTGAAAATATGGCAAGCAAGATTTCAATTTTAAAAGACATATATTTGGAAAATCGTTTCATATACAACAAGCTTGAAGCAATTTTGTTTGAAGAAATGAGAAGAATTGGTTTACTACGGGAAATCGGGAAATATACGGCAAGTTTGCTTTGAATATTTTTGAAATGTTTACGAATTTTGTTGCTTTAACTTTTTGCGTAATAAAAAACATGAATTATAGAAGCTCTAAGTTTCATAAATTACCGTTTAATTTGAGAAAAAATCTTAAAATGTAAAGGCGAACAAATTGATTTGAAGACTGAACTGAAATTACCTTACAATTTGTTTTATTTGTATTAAACTTATCATGTTTTGTTAAGTAAAAACAGTTTATCGGCAAAATGTAGTTTACTTGAATAGTGAACATTTCAAAACATTTTACGAAGCGTTTCAAGTTAAATTTTACATTAAATCAAAGCTCACAAAATGCAAAATAATATACCCACAGTATATATTTCGGAAATTTATTGTTGTATAGTTAAAAGTGCGAATCTTTCAATTATTTTGCAGTTTTGTACAAAATATATGAAAATAAAAATTTAAGAATATCGTGTTGTCATGGCAACACTTGAGCGCGAGCCTGCGTTCAGTGCTGGTCATTTCTGAATACTTCATGTTTAATGTATGAAAAATATTGGCGAGGGGTTACTGCATGCATGTATTTCTAGTTATAATCTAAGATATAAAGCAAGATCTGGACGGCGTCAAATCTCCAGTGAAGTTATGAGTGGCTCTGTAGAAAATCGACTTGTGCATGGGAAGTTTTTCTTCTCCTTAATGGCAAATTTCTTGCCTGCCAGAAATTAGGCTTCAGCGGAAATTATCTTTCCTGTAGAACATAAAATGCTTACGTGTGTTCAGCAAGGTCACATTTCTCCCGGGAGCATAACGAACTAGTTCTACAATGCGCTCTAGTTGTCTAGTCTGACAGATTTCAGTCCCCATACAGAGTTGCATTCAACTTTCCAGTCGTTTGCTCGCGATAATCGCTCGTTATTCACAATGTTCGTGGGATAAGTCAAACACATGTATTCACAATGTTCGTAAGCCACACTCGTCTCGCACAAACTTGGTGAACCAAATGGATAACAATGAATTATACAGGAGTTGTTCTTCTAATTACTATAGGATTATTTTGGGCATCTCACTCGATTGAACTAATGCACGTGGACTTGTATAGATGGAAATTTCGAGTGTAAATTTTATACATTTATTTAGACTATGTAACCATGCGCAGCTGCGTAAGATGAAACTATATGATAGACCCTTTGGCAGGAATTGAACATGCGACGCTGCGAAGGATGCGATTCCGGTTCTATATACGCTCTGACTAACTGAGATACAGAGTCCAATAACGTTGTTGACCTCGAACCACCAGTTAATGATTGATCTCTAATGAGGTGGTTACTATCAGCTACTTATATGTATATTTTCATTTAGTGATGACGTTATTTCTAACGACCCAGATGTAAATGTTGGAAAGGGCAACAACAGCAAAGTTCCTCTTCAACTTGCTATCAACACAGCTCAATTTGGTCGTACTTTCCAAGATCGGTCTCACATTTTCAAAATCATTCCGAGAAAAGACCACTTTAGCGATTGCGTGATTCATAATCTCAATGTTAGAGGAAAACGTGGAAATATTGTTCAAACTTTCCCTGCAGTTGAATATGACTTCACACCAAAAGATTTGGAAGTGAAATCCTCACATTGTATTCATATACAATTTGCTGGTAAGCTACATTGCTAGCGTATACTAACGAACGTTCTCCCTGATATGTTTCCATAAGAAGTAAATTGTTAATTCTTGCGTACTGTCGACAATTTTTTATTGAATTCCCTTCCACACACGTTATTGCTTCCACCAGTTGATTAATATTAGCATATCTGAAAAAACACGTGGTGAGTAGCACACCAACGCAAAGTCAATTCTCCTCATTTCCTTTCGAATCATATACAGAATTCAATTAAGAAATATCAATGACAAGTTCCAGAAACTTTGCCCTAATGCGTTTTTAATCCTAATATCTCACTGTGATATTTATAGGTTCTAATAGAAATCCTGCAGGCAACGCTGGTGAAGGGCGTGCACGTAAGTTACAGCAATAAAATTCTTTGTTTCTATATACATTTTGGGGTATGTCAGTTTTGTTAATACCGAAATAACATGGCATCATTTGCAAGATAAAAATACATGCAGTCACTGCCAAAACTGTTCTATGTTCTGCATTTCCCGTTTTAAATTCTTATTGTTACATAATTTTCATTTTTTGAACTAAACTAAACGTGATTCGGAATGGTTCTGTTCAATACTGCTCAGTCAGGGGCGAAACTTGAGGGGGGTATGGGAAGGGGGTGTGACACCCCCCAAAATACGAATCATCTGGATTGGCAGGGCAATCAAAGATTTAAAATGATAGAATTAAGTAACTTACAGGGATTTCAGAGGGAATTGAATAGAATTTATGAATAAGGGTTTCACCCATGTTTTAATGTCCGGAAAATTTTTTTTCTACCTTTTTTTCATTTTTTGTTAAAATAGTGGCCAGAAATAAAAATTTGCTGCAGGGCATCATCGGTTTTGGCAGGGCAATTCTGGCAGACACCCCCCCCGAATTAAAAGCCCTTACTCGCCGAATTAAAAGCCCTTACTCGGCCCTGTGCTCAGTATTTCAAAGTTCTATATACGATACATTGTTACATGCATGTTTTACTCATTCGACTATTCACTACTGCCTCGTCCCTCGTCACTTCAGTTGGGAATAGAGATGGGTGGAAAAACAATGGGAGCGCGGGGCTTAAGAGTCAGTATTCACTACTAAGACACTAATAAGAATATTTTTGAAATATATCTAAATAGGATAAACACAGCATAATTAAGGACCACATGCAGTCATTACAGAATTTCTCATTTCTCAGAATTTCTCTCTCTAGTCATTACAAAAACTCGCTATAGAGTTTGCACTCATTCCCCATGCAGGGACCAACTGAACAAAAGCCATGGCGGCGATGTTGGTGTTCCAGACAAAAGGGTCTAATTGAAATATTTTTTTTTGAATTGGAACATCCATGTGACCTCATGTGCAAACGCTCTATAGGTAGCTTCAGCATGCAATACGGTGCGGTAAATTGTCGTCAACGGTCAGTTGAGACTTGAGAAAAGGTTGATTATTTTCATGAATTTGAAGTAGCCTTGTAACGGGAGGCAAACTATATAGCAGCACTTGAGACGTATAGCAGTCTGATGTTGACCACCATTTGTTGCCTTGTAACGCTTACTAAAAACCACCAACAATGCATGCAACCGTTCTAAAATTGTTACTTTTCTCAACAGAAACAGACAGAAGCAATTTGGTAGCAATGAAACGCCCAGATGTAAGCTATCCACTGGCAGATACTACAGGTAAGGGTGGCTTGGCACATTGCCATTTAAGAGTTTGTGGTTTGAGTTAGGATTAGGATTATATAAATTGGAGTTAGGATTTGTGTTAGGATTGGGGCTGGTAAGAATTAAGGTTGGGATTAAGATATAGTAGACTTAGAATTAAGACAAGAGTAGGGATTGAAAGGATTACGAAAACGTTAAGGGTAATAACCATTTAAATTGTCTTTGCTAATGTTGAACTTCACCCTCAGGTACACTATTTGATGGAGCAACCGTGATCGACGCACCTGACCCAGACGATTATACAAAAACAACGAGCGGCGCTGACATAGCAATTGCCATGGCAACAGCAGGTTACTTCAAACGTGCTCAAGATGTGTCCAATCCATTTAGCGTTCCTGGTTGTAATACTCAACAAGCTGAGCAACTGGATTGTTATCCGCCTTCATACACTGGACTGCTGCTAAAACTGAAACCTGGTCAGTATTACTACATGTGCTCTCGTAACAACAATTTCACAAACAGAAATCAGAAGGCCAGCATTAAAGTTACTGAGGGATGACGGGATTTCTTTCTATGTCAAAATGCACTGATAAAACAATGCACCTATGGCATGCACAGGAGTTTTACACTATTCAATAAGTTAACATTTCTTTACAAGTTTATATAATTAGGTTTAATTCATTCATTTGGTATAGAAGTATATTTGTAGACATTACATAAGGAGTAAATCATATACTTCATGTAAAAGAAGCGTATTTTGATGTTTTCCAAATTTCCTAACCATACATGTTTTCCCATATTACTACGGTGGGGAATAACGCACTTTATAGGTAATTAGTTTTGTTATGCTTGTATACATGAATATTTCTTATCTTAAATAAAATATGCCACATTGTCATTGAAATGGTATAAGGGTTTAATTGCATACAATTTCCGACGACTTGAATGTCACGGTCTTCTCTAGCTGGTCGCAAATAAGGAAGAAAAGGCATCACAGTTGGTTTACGTACATGTACAACCCCGATGAGACCATGAAAATACCTTCGGTATATGTTCCAATTTATATTACTATAATTAGACATCTTTCGCATAATCCTATTCCTTATGCTAATGTTCCACTATAGTGGGAACCCTCTTTTAATAATTATGTACATTTCCGTGCATAATAATCTACAATGAATATAAATAATACACGCAGCTTTTATTTTTCAGCACTCAAGTGGTTTTCATACAAAAAATATTAACATGTGTAGGCATAATTATGCAGTCTTTAATATGAATATGAACATATAACTTAAATTCAACTAAAGTGAGGATTTGGTCACTATATATCATCACGGTCATCGTACTTTGTAACATTTTGTTTAAAGAGCCTATGACACGAAATTTCACCGCAAATGTTCATGATTGCATTGCAAAGATCACTTAAAATGACTTAATATTTTCTTTTATAGAATTTTGGTAACTTGTTTCCTTTGCAAGATATTCAACTTTGTTTCATATGTAAATATCACCGGTGTAACATCACATCGCATAATGACATTTTGAAAACACAATATTTTACCTTGATAAAATATTTTTACAAACAAATACAAAAACTATACTTAAGAAAACTATACTTTTCTGAAAACTCATTGTGTGATGTGATGTCACACCGGTGATATTTGCATATGAAACAAAGTTGAATATCTTGAAAAGGGAGCAAGTTACCAAAATTCTACAAAAGAAATTATTAAGTCATTTTAAGTGATCTTTACAATGCAACCAATAGTAGTGCCCTTTTTGTGGGTAGCCGCGCATGCACAGCTAACCACTATGTGAGAGACTGAAGCGCGATCTTCCGTGGCTCTGTAGCCTTCGTGTCCGCGGTGTCCTGCTGCGCGGTTCCTTTTATCCTTGAAATACGAACCGTCTATAGACCACAATCATTGGAAACGGGTTAGGTCTGCACGGTCTGTGAAATATATAATATTTGTCGAATGTGTAACTATAATATACGAGTGTGTAATATATTTGTATTATATTTTTCGAATGCGCTGGTCGAATGTGTAAATTATAAAGGCAAATAGAAAGCCAAGCACGGTTTACACAAGGGTCAGTGACAATGAAATATTAGCGCACGAAGTCTTTGAGATATATTTGTCGAATATTGAAAGCAAGTTGAATGTCATTACCAATATATATGGGATCGATTATGTCGTTGTTTAATTAATTTAATCATCACTAAATATAAAGAATATGTCGATCTTCTGTCGAAAACATCGTCCTTAGAGCTTTGCATGCATGCACTATCCTTGAAACTCAAACTTCACGAAAATTGTATACGCAGCCTGTAAACCTGATCCTTTGATGTATGCTGTCCTTGAACAAGAACTCTTCTTGTGTTAAGTGTTCTTCGTACTGTCTGTATTTCGGGGTGTGTAGTATTTTGTTTCGTATACATATCAAAGACCTTGTACTGTTCTGTCTGTTCAGTGTGTGCAAATTATTTTTGACACATTAAAATACTTTATAACTTCTTATATCTGTTTATGCTTATTGAAAAGTTTACGTATTTTTGTCATATCTGATGTTTATATAACATAATTATATAACATTTAGCACAGAAAAGGTGGGGGGTATTACTGTCGCCACAAGTCTCCTTTGGATAAAGGAGACACACCCCACCGTTTGCCGATGACATGTTACGAAAACCTCAATCTATGTCAGTTTGAATGCCCATGCTATATTGTCAGTCAAAAGCAATGCATTTGCACTGGTCTACATAATAACCGTACTGGCAATTACCTGGTTAACTATACAAGCCTCGACTGAAATAAACGTTATCAGCTGAAATGTGAATTTTACCCCTGTGTCAGTTCAATATCCAACCGATGACGAATAAGTGTCGCCAGAGGCGATAAAATACCGTATTACCAGTTCTAGCAAAATACATATTAGCTGAAATGTAAACCTTATCCTTGTGTCAGTTCAACATCCAGCGATAACGAATAAGTAAGATAAAATACCTAGGTAATCACCAGTTTGGGGCGAAATAAACATGATCAGCTAAAATGTGAACCTTACCCCTGTGTCAGTTCAACTAACATCCAGCGATGACTAATGAGTATCAAGATAAAATACCTATAGGTAATCACCAGTTTCGACTGAGAACTAAACATAATCAGCTAAAATGTGAACCTTATACCCAGTTCAACATCCAGCCGCGGTAATGACGTTTGCAAAAAACAAAACAGTTGTCGTTCACACTATTATTAACAAACTGGATAAATTAAATTTAGAAACGTGGATTGAGGTTATTTAACAATTAGACAACGAGGCCGAGTTGTCTATGAGCGAATAGTCAACGAGGCGAAGCCGAGTTGACTATTTGCTCATAGACAACTCGGCCGAGTTGTCTAATTGTTTTAGTATAAACTTTAACATTAATTTACAACTATAGGCTGCAAACACAATACAAAAATACACAAAAAACATTATGAAACCATTAAAGGTAAACAAATATTTTAGTGTTTGTTCGCGTAAAATGTTTTACAAAATTCAGTTTTAATTTCAAAATTTCATTGAGTGTATGTTATTTTGTCTATTTTCCTACCCTTAAAAATTACCATTCCATATTTTTATTGCTCTTTTCGGGTTTTTTTAGTACAGAATTGTTCAACAAGTCGTCCAAAAAATCATCAGACACTTCGGCAAAAGTGCAAAACGGGAATTTTCCGCCATTTTGAATTTTCTATTAGTAATATAATAAGTAATATAAGACTATTAATTAAAATAAGACAGCTTTTAATAGCATAAAAACAATTTGTTTTGTAAATACAATAATGACAACAAATTTAGTTTTGAGCTTGTTGGCTACAATATAAAACTGTTTGCAGTTTTAGTAAAAGAACATTAGACCAAAAAGAACTTCTTCTTTTGATGTCTGTGTTAGGAGTCTATATATATATATGCATGTTGACAATAACTTTCATAGAGGTCCTTGTCCTGTTGAAGGTGAGTTTTGTTCACATCAGTGAACCAAAAATACATATTTCCCTTCCCACTATTTAGATTTCCTATAACCAATCCCAGCCGGCTAAAAAGTTGGATATTATAAACAGCAATGAAATGGGCAGACTGGATGCCAACCAAATATTCGGTATTGTGCGAGAAACAACTTACACCCAACAACTATATTAACCCATTAAGTCACATTGTGCCCTGATGTGCCCTACTTTATTATTTTATTTTGTCTAACAGCATTACGGCAGATGTCAAGGGGAGAGTGTTGGTATTTAATGGGTTAACTGACCATGGGTCCGGTTAACCCATTGAGTTGCACCCTACTTTATTATTTTACTCTAACACCAGATAATTTTACTTGTCAAGGGGAGAGTGCTTACTACTCGGTTAGTACGGGAAAGCAATTAATACAAGGCCAATCCAAGAAATAGCTGAAAGAATATGCTGCCCCATCTATTTTTGCTTTATATCAATGATGAATCAATCAGGTTTCTTGAAGAGAACTAGATATACTGTGAAGGTTTTTGATGCATACTAGACAAATTAGCCAGTTTCTTCAAAATAGTTTCCATTGAAAACTTTTGCTGTCACTAGTTCTCTTTAAAATCCTGTTTGATTCATCACATTTCACTGTCCAGGCCATATAGACTTGAGATCCCTTGACATCTGCAGCAGCAAGGTCATCAAAGTCACACTAAAACACTTGTATAAAACAGAGCATCATAGTTTTCGCACTGGTCAGCAGACCAGGTAAATCAAGCAAAATAGGTTTTAAACTTCAAAATACTTCACAATATTATTCCCTGTTATATATCCCAACCGAGATCCTCGAGAAAAAAGCACCCAAAGAACCAAAACCTTTAATTTCTGCAATAAAATGTCTCGAACTGCTCAACCGACCATGTGATGATTTTCAGAAAACATTTAGCGATCGATTATTTCGTCTTTATTCAACTTAAATTGTACAAATATTCATCCAAAACCTTCACACCAGTTAGTTCTTCCCAAAAAAAGGTGGTTGAACGGGATCGGAAACAGTAGGCAGGCGTAAAATGCGTAAAACATGGTTTTTCCCTATCTCGCTCTATGATTTTTGACCGGTTGAGCCGCCATTTTGAATGCTCATGTTGGTGCGTCGCGTGCGTAATAGAATACATTACAGTCAGCAATCTAGTTCTCCTAGGCATAGTACAAAACATGGACTGGACTGGACTGGACAGTTGGACTGGACTGGACAGTTGGACTGGACTGATTTTTACATTTTCTCTATTGTTGACTTGCATGTCATCCGCCATGTCAGGTGGCATGGCGCAAAAGAATATGTTATCACAGAATAAATATACCATGTCATGTCTATTTTGTGATTTTATCATTGAACATTGTCTGGTGTGTACCAGGAGGAGATTGGTTGCAAGTCAAGAATATAACGTTTTACACCTGAATTACGTTTGATTTTCGGAAATTGAAATACTTTACCTTCGCCGATGACCTCACTTTATAACGGGAGTGAAATCTCTTTTAAAGCGAAAGAAACCCCAGTAAGTAGAATATAAT